GTATATATATATTCAATTTAAACGGTGAAGTGAATTTAAAACAAACCCCTGTATTTTTTGACCAATGTTTAACAAAATATCTCATGACCCCCTGTAGAGCTACCACAAACGATTATTTTTATAAGGGATTAATCACCTATTATTCTTTCGATTAGTCGACTAATCAGATCATACGTTAATTGAATATAAAACATACAGCTTATCGCGCCAGAATGCAGCTGCTATTATATAACCATTGTTAGATTTTAGCTATATGCTAACTAAAAATAATAGCTGTGGAAGGCAAGTTCTGCTCTGCAGATATTACACAGGGTTCTCTTTCATTTTCTTAAAATGATCCCACACTTTTGAGCTCCGTTGCCAAGTAGCCATGATACCAGAGCCTGTCTGTATAATGTCTTGTGACGTCCACYGCCTACCCCAGTTACCACTACTGTGCATGTGTGTCAAAGACAGAAAGGTAGATGTGGCAGTGGAAGGTGTCAAAGCAGTTTGGAGAGAAAAATAAAGTAAATAAAAAAGATTAAATATTATTAAATTAGTCATCGATTATTTTAATAATCGATTAGTTGTCGATTAATCGACAAATCGTGGCAGCCCCAACCCCCTGAAGGAATTTTAATGAAACTCTCAGGAAATGGTGATTGTACTACAACTGATTAACTTTTTGAATAAATCTGATTCAAGATGGCAACCACAGCCAACTAATCTTAGAAAACACAACAATGGCTACAATTCCATCAGTTTTACAAATACTAAGTTAAAGTTTGATGTGGTAGCTGAGAGTCACCCTCAACACAATCTCTGAGCATGCTGCATAATGTTACTGTTGGGTCTTTAATATTTAATAATATTGTGATGTTGAAGCTTTGGCCTTTATTTTAGGTGAGGGAACCAGGTGGCAGGTTTGGGAGAGGGCAGTTTTACAAAGCCCCTAACCTGCATGTGGGTTTATATGGTTGCAGTTCCTCTGTTTGCAGTGAATAATTGTGGATAATTTGTTATAGATTACTTTAAAACTTGGTGTTCAGTTTGTCTCCAAGGTTGGATCCTTTGTCCCTTTGTAGGAGTTTAAATGATATAATGAAGAGTCAGCGTGTGACGATTATTTGGTGGTCTTATCTTTGGACTGTAAGACCCACAACAATTGTTATACTGGTGTCAGAAGTTAGATCACAGCTTCAGATTGTCCAGCTAAAGCAAGGCAAGTTTGTGCAGTGTGTACGGGGAGGTTTTTGGTTATGTGGGCAGAGTTGGTCAACACCGTGATTAGTGATGGGGGCGGAGTTTGGCTAAACTGACTGATTAGACTGACTTGTGGGGGATGTTAACAGATGTGATTGTTAGCCACYGTTGGTGTATAATGGTAATTGGTAAAATTATTGGTAATTCAAAAAGAAAAAAATTGTATAGGTCTTCTGGACGGGTTCTTCTCTAATGAAACGTTTCGTCTCTRCTCCAAGAGACTTCTTCAGTCTGAGAGTTTCAGGCAAAATTCAGGCTTTTAAGCACTGCCRCCATGTGACTGATACTCACATCACATGGCTATTGTTGACACCTAATTAACACCTATTGTTAACAGGTGTTTAACATTTAACATTTCACTGATCACATCAACTCTGTGGATGAATATATTAAGTTCACACGAGAGGATGTAAAAAAATGGCAGGTTGGCGTTCCTGGATTGCGATGTCTCGGTTTCGGATGGAGGACGGTTGGAAACTGGCGTGTATCGTAAGCCCACCCACACAGACCAATATTTGCATTTTGACTCCCACCACCCACTGGAACACAAGTTAGGAGTGATCAGGACTCTGTACCACAGAGCAGACAGTGTCCCTACAAACCCAGGAGCCAGGCAGAAAGAGAAATCACACACACGACAGGCCCTGGAGCAGTGTGGTTATCCTGACTGGGCTTTCCTGAAAGCAGACAGGAAACACAGACAGGACTCCATGCAACCTTTAGGTGAAAGTGAAGACTCCAAACCCAGACCCAAACCAGTGGTTATTCCYTATGTTGTGGGTGTTTTGGAGAAACTGAGATGTTTATTTTCTAAACATGATGTCCCAGTGGCTTTCAAACCCCAAAACACATTACGGCAAAGGCTGGTTCACCCCAAAGATCCGGTGCCCCGGCACAAACAGAGCAATGTTGTATATGCTGTTAAGTGCCAGGAGGACTGCGACCAGTTATACATCGGGGAAACAAAGCAGCCACTGTTCAAAGAATGTCCCAACACAGACGAGCTAATTCTAATGGGCAGAACTCTGCAGTTTTCACTCATTTACAGGCCAGCGGTCACTCTTTCAGAGATGAGGATGTTCTCATTCTTGATGGAGAGGAACGTTGGTTTGAGAGAGGAGTAAAAGAAGCCATTTTTTGTGACGAAAGACCGTCCGTCATTAAACAGAGGTGGYGGCCTCCGTTTTCAGTTGTCCCCCTCCTACAGTGCTGCTATTGCCAGTATCACTCCACCCCCTGTTAACAATAGGTGTTAATTAGGTGTCAACGATAGTCATGTGATGTGAGTATCAGTCACATGGAGGCAGTGCTTAAAAGCCTGAATTTTGCCTGAAACTCTCAGACTGAAGAAGTCTCTTGGAGGAGAGACGAAACGTTTCATTAGAGAAGAACRCGTCCAGAAGACCTATACAATTTTTTTCTTTTTGATTTTTTACCTGGATTACTGAGATGCATCAGGACATTATTGGTAATTATTTAGTATTTCCCTTATTTATGCTGACTAGAGACTTTTTGGCAGTGAACAGCAGCAAAGATGTGATGAAAGATAAATAAACGTGTAATAAAATAAAAGTAAAATAAAAGTATCGAATTGTGGGGGTTCAAATTGATGTCTGCCCCCTGAAAACCAGGAGTACTCAGGTTTGACCAAACATGCTTGTAATTCCCACTGGTAATTGCTGAGTCATGTTCGCCTCCCCTCCATCAGCACTGACCTTACATTTTGCTCTTCTTCTGTTCTTGTGATTGTCATTTAAACTGAGTGCCTTACGCCACCACCTGTTTGGGTGGAGAACTGTTTGATTAAAAAGCAGAACTCAGAGGTTGATTAATCTATGGGGGCCACAGCCACCAATGGCCACCCTCTCTGGCTCCGCCACTGAAAACAAACAAAAAAAGACGTTGAGGTGTTTCAAACTGTGGTCTTTATTAGCTGTCCACAATAGCATGTCATGGAATGACAGAAACTGTAGCATGAGTGTAACATTCCTCTTTGTTGTTATACTCTACCAGATCTCTGCTTCGCACACCATGTATAATTTATTCTTCATATATATATTTTTTTACAATTTACATGTTCTCATCAAAGGAAACCAAACCCCTGCAAAATAATGAAAACAAAATTAAATAAAAACAGAGCTAAATTTTATCCCCAGTGTGGATTTGAGTGATTCCATGCGTTTTTCCACTGCGCCTATGGGAGATAACAGGAACAAATACGCAGCATAATCAAAGCTCAGTCAAATAAAAGGAGAGTATTTCAGGCAAAGCTGCTGCACAGAACACATTCCCAACAACATTAAACAAGAAGAGCCATGCAAACTGACATTTCCTCTCCGGCTTTGAGCCAAATCGGAATAAAAAAACAACAAAAAAACAAAACTAAACAAAAAACGAAACAATTGATAGGTGCTGAAGTCAGTCCTGTTGCTACTGGCATCACATTTAGACTAATAAAAACATAAAGTCTGAGTTTAATCTCATGTTTTATTGTTGGATCACAAATATTTCGACTGCGTGAGGCTACAGAAACACCGGCACTAACAAGTGCTTGACATCATCAGAAACCTTCATGGAGACCAAATGCTTTGCATCTTAAGTTACATTTCATGTGGAAATGATGCAGTACAATATGGGAATATGTCATGATTTGTTCATGTTATCGACACAGAAAAGCTCAGGTCAAAACAAACACAACATACACAATGGGCTGCCACGAATATGTAAATAAACAATAATTTTTTTTGCTGTTTTCCGCACACATTTATCTAAATTACGACTCTTTCAGTTAATTATACTTTAGCTCATTAAAATCTAATGGAGATATTGCTTAATCTAAAGGTTTTAAAGCATTTTTTATTTTTACACATCTTTTTTTTGCTTTTAAAAAACAAAATAAGCGCTGACATAAAGTAAAATATATAGTGCTATGTATGTATATAAGAAAATAAAACTGTTAAATATCTATATTCTGTAGCTATTTACAGAAATTCATTTATATATATATATATTTTTTCTTATAGAGCTTTAAACTGGGCCAAAAAGATAATTAATTTCAAATGTGCTACCATGTTTTATTAAGTCTGAAACACTTAAATCTATGACATTTGCATTGAAAGCCTTTTTAAAACAGTTACATTTATTTTGGTTTGCTGCTGGATTGGTGAAATTGCACATTTTCTCGACTTTTCCCACTTTGTTACATTCATTGATATTCTTTGAGTTCCTCTGAGAGAAAGGAGTTTTCATAAAATTTGCTGTTTTTATTTTTATTAAAATACTATACAACTGCATAAAACTGTTTTTAGGGTCGATGTTTTCCCCAAAACGAACACTAGGGGGCAGCAAAGCTCTAAAAAAGTGACATTTCCGGCTTTGAATGAAATAAAAATATTAAAAAACACAAAGAAAAATAAATGTATGGCTAAGATTTAAAATCCATTATGAGCCAAGATGTTTGTTTATAATTTGGCCTAATTTCCATCATCTGATTGGATCAAACAACCAGTGCGACTGAGATAATAAGCAGGCGTTAATAAGCACAGATAATGGGTTAGTCTACAGATTACAAGCATAAATGTGTGCATTAAACTCAGTCCAGATATCTGAATTGATCTGAATGTTCAGAGCAGAAATGAAAATCAACATGCATCTGGATTTTCTGATCGTTTGGAATGTTCCACAAAATAAATGAAGGTTAAAATCCCCCCATTGACTGGACCCACTCAGCCCAGTGCTGCACACAAAAAAAGCACGCCCAAAGCKAAAACACAGGAGTCGAACAAACGGATCAAACATGCAACTTTGCATAAACGGAGACGTACAGCAGGGAAAAAAAACGTTCAGTATTGTCATCAGCCAAGCAGGTGTGGGAGAATTTATACAGGTTTACAAAAAAAAAAAAAAAAAGAAAAAAATGAAAGTAAAAAGACAAATCAGACTTGATATTTACACTTTGCTTTAAAGCCCATTGCTCAAATCCTGCTTCCATCTGCAGCTGATTCAAGTTAATTAGCAACGATTTTTGTTTCAAAAACTGGTCCATGAAGTCAGCTGTTAATGAAAAAAACCATAACGGCAGCTCTGTTGAAGAGGTGTCATGCAAAAAAAATAAATAATAATAAAAATAAAAAAGACCCACACATTTTAATTTCCCAGTTGGAGCGTCCGTGTTTCAGCGGTGGGTCAGCATAGATTTCTCTGAGTGGGCCGTTGTTCGTCCGACTCAGCGCAGCCGCGGCGGAAGTTCCTGTGATCGGTTTTGGTTTCTGCGCGCGGGCAGACGGTAAACACAGTGACGATGTGTCCAAGCACAAAAAAACGGACGGGACGGAACACACACGAGTCCACCTAAAAAAAAGCCTGCTGGCTTTGCTACGGGTCACTGGAACGGGTCGTAGAGCAGAGGTTCTGTTCTGGCCTGGAGTTCATTGCTGCCATCGCTTCAACTTCAAACCCAAGTCTCTTCTTTCTGAGAGATGACCAAGCTGAAACTCTAACCTCTGAGTGAAAAACAGTAAAYTGTGGATTCATGCATGTGGTTTATTGGGTCTAGGTGACACTAGCTGGTCTGGTTATTATTAGACGGGGTGTGGAGTGAGCAGGACGGGAGGTCAAGGCAAAAATAATAATAAGAAAAAACAAGTTTCAGTCGTTAAAAATCAGCACGGAGCAGAATTAAAGGGACAGCCTAGAATAAAAACTTCTAACAGCTTGTTGTTTCAGCAGGTGGGCGGGGTTTGATGTTACATAGATGCTGCGGTTGAACCAGAGGGCTCGAGAGAGAGAGCGAGAGAGAGAGAGAGAGGGGGGGGGGGGGTCACACCACAGAGCCCTTGGAGGTGGAGAGGTGGATGGAGTGGATGCGAGTGGCCAGCGTCTTCTCCAGCTCCTGCAGGATGTCGGAGCAGATGCCGGGGCTGGACGCCAGGCTGGAGGCGGGGCTCTCGGCAGGAGGAGGTTCGTACAGAAGCTGCTTGAAGCTGTCGAGTTCCACCAGCAGCACCATGTTCTTCAGGAAGTAGCCCTCGATGAAAGCCGTGAGCTCCGAGGCGCCGAGGAACTGCAACAGAGACAATGATGAGTCGTTAAGAGCGTGGCGGAGGATAATCCCGAACCCACCTGGAAATGACATTTTCTAAATAGAAACCTTTGCAAAAAACTTTAGCAGATACTTTGCCAAACAAGCCTCTTGTTTAGTTTGTGCATTCGAAACCATGACAACAATGGAGCCATTTTTTTTAGTTTTTTGCATCTTGACTTGCTCCTTGTTAAAAGGAGCACAGACCCAGTGGATGGAGGACAACAGAGCTGCTTCATCAAAGCTTGTTAGCTTTTGTGTTAGCGCCACACTAATACACATACATAAGGCYATGTAGCATTAGCTACATACAAACTAAAGCCACAAATTTGGTTCCTGGACTTTGCTGGCCAGATGGAATCGATCTTGGAGAAAGCTGATGGTACGGTTCGGCGGAATTTGTCCACGTTATTTGTCTGACTGGATTCTCCACCTTGAGATGTACCAGCGGACATTAAAGCAGATTGGAAATTGTTGTTGTCTGTTTGGCTCTTCTGTTCCCAAACAACTGATTACAGAGCTGGCTCTCCCTTACATGGCCTTGAGCTGTTGGACTAAATGCTTCCTGGTTGGATTACGTCGACTGAGGGTCTGTCCCACTCCTCCCCCACTCTCACACCCGTCTGTGATCTGGTTCCTGGAGCAAGTTGAGGGCTGCACACAATGAACAGTTACATCCATATTCTGAACTATGGCTGCGCAGGTTTTGGGGACTCAATTCCTCGGGCTCATTCTTCAGATATTCACACAAGTGCATACAACTGTTGGGATCCAGAGTTTGTCAGTTCCAGTATTCATCCACTAGATGTCCTCCTGGAGCACAAGCCTGCAGGAGGGCAGAATATCCAGCAGGTGTGTAAGCCCCACACCTGCAAATCATCTACCTTCATTAAGAGGAGGATAAGAGGAGTCTGCAGTCAGCTTTTCGATGCCTGAGTGTTAATTCTTGTGGTAACCTCAAGCCCTTAGAGTACTCTCTGAGTTTTTCCTCTAAATTCTCTTGTGCCTAGACCTTTGAGATAACTTAGTCCTGTTTGTGTTCCTAAAAGGTCCATTGATGGTTTGGACCGGTTCCTCTGAGGTCCTCCAACCTTAAAGATCATCTTCATCTCTCTGTGCTGTTTTGGACTCCTCCACCCAGGGCTGCCATCTCAGGACTCCTCTCTCCTCAAGTACGTAACCTGTCTGCCCTCCAACCTGCTCARCATTCCTTGGCTCWCGGACTCAACCCCTCGGATCCCACTCACCTCTCCCTGGCCGACCTGCTTATCTTCATAGTGAGCTAAGCTCCTATTCTGTTTACTATATACACCTTCCTGGCCTCATCACCTTTCGTCCTCCACCGATGTTCCTGACCCCCCTGCCCTGCGTCTACAGGACCACGTTGGACCAAGATCACTTTAATTTAACATAAAGCATCTTAAAACTTTGTTGCTTCCTGGAGTGTTTGCATGTGGGTCAKGAAACTCTCTAAAACCATGACAACAACACTCATGGCTTCAGATACACGCCCCCCTAAACTCACTTACTCCTCTGGCTAATAAATGTGCTCTATGCAGAGTTAAAAAACAATAAATAAAACACCTTAGTGTTTTTTCCCTCATCTTCCCTTGTGTGGTTTTTAGTTTTACATTTAAGGGTTGTGCCTCCTCATGTCTTCATGAAGATGATCCTTGCTCTGTGCAGAGTCAGTGGCTACATGACCTGGGGGCACCTGTTCTCCTATGTTCTGTCTTCTGAATGGGTGTTCTGAACTGTAATTGTGCTCTGTACAATGACAAAGGTCTCTCTAATCTAATAACGTAGGTATGGTGCTAGCTATATCGCCATGTGTTAGCTTGGGTGCTAACGCAAAAACTAACCGGCTGTTTGTCCTCCATGTTTAAGGCCGAGTCATATTCCCCTCCTAAATAAACTTCCTGCAGTATTTTTACAGTCTTTGTTACATTTATAGTGCACGTTTATCAAATGTCCAATGTTACAACTGGGGGTTCCCTTTTATACTTGGGTTATGCAGCAAGAAGGAAAACTGAATAACCACAAATTAAAGGAACACGTACTGCCTGTTGCCTTCCATGTTGGAGTTTTAAAACTTGACAAATGATGGAATTGTAGAATTTTTTTGACCATTTAACACACAATGCAGGGTTTCCTTCAGTATATTGTCCTCCTGCCAGGTTATGGTTTATTTAGAACTGGGAACAGGTGGTTTGGACCTAGCATTACCAATTAGCACTCCGCTACTGCTCCCACTCTACTGGCCATACCACCAGGCTTAGCCTTAGCTTACTACATGATTGATTTAGTTCAGTATCTCAAACTGTTCCAGTGAGTCATAATTAGAGGCTACAGAAAACTCTCTTTTTGTGTGGATGTGTTATCGCCACCTGCTGGTGTGGCTCAGGTATTTCAGATTTATTGTGTGGGTTTTTCTGCTGCTGGCTGGATATTTCATTTTCAAACTGAGGGAAAAGCATCTGAAGTACGAGTAGTGTTGTCACCAGGGCTTTATTAAAGTTTCAGCCTCAGTCAGATACAGTGCTAAATCCTCCCGTCACCATGGCAACAAAGCACCGGCAATCCCACAGATTCTTTAACCCAGTAGTGATTTGCACAAGCGTCCTCACCTTGGCGTGTTTGTAAAGGTCCACGCAGGTCTCGGTGGTGATGTTCTTGGTGCAGATGATCTCACAGTGTCTCTGAAGGGCCTCTAGTTGGAAGAACTTGGCTGCAGACAGGAGCTGCGGGGAGGAGGAACAAGGCACAGCGTGAGGGACGGGCGGCGGGATCAGGCGAGCGCAGCTGCTCTGCGGGCCGCCGCCGTGTCTTACCTCCATCACTTCGGTGTTGCGTATGTGCAGGGACTCAGTGCCTCCGCAGTACAGGTACTGCATGACCAGCTGGAAGAGACAACACGGGCAGAACCGCTATAAATATTTTATCGAATCGTTTAAAGGCAGTGGAGCATCGGCTAATCAAGTCAGGGGAAAAGGACAACAAAAATGTGATTTTAATTTTAATGGCTGAAAGTTCTGCTACGTTACATTAAAGCAACAGGTTTTACAAACAAACTCTTCTTTCTGTAATATTGGTTTTGATTTGTGATTTTCTGTTAGTCTTGTTATCCTCGTTGTTTTCCTGCCTCTTCTCCCTCGTCACACCTGTTCCTCATTTCTCATCATCACACCTACTTCCTGTCAGTCATCATCCCCCCGCTCCTGGGCTTCGGCTACTTCCTGTCAGATCCTGGCCGTTTCTCTGCCCGTCCTGTTCTTGTTTGGTATCAGTGTTTCTAGCCCTCGCTCGGCTATTTTTTCTTTTCTTTTCAAGTTTGTGATTTGGAAATAAACAACCTCTGGTCCCATCTGCCCGTCAGCTGCCTCCCCGTCCCTCAACCTCCTCAACTTATGACAGAAACACGAGCAGCTCCGATCCAAACACAAAAAACACAGAGGGGGAAAACAAAACAAAACAAAAAAATGTCTGGATAACAGCTCGTATATTTCTACAGCTGCACACCCTGCAGTTTCACACAGCCGCTGGAGGTTTGCTGCTTTGAAAGTTGTTTGCACGTAGCAATAAAGTAATAATAAAGAACAAAACAAAATGCAAAGTGTTAATAATTAAAAAGACAATATATTAAAAGCTACAGCTGTCCAAACAGCTTCACTAACTAAAAATAAAGCTTTGCAAATGCTAACCTGCTACACATGTAAAAATATAGAAGGCGCTAACGTTATCACTAACTGCTACGTTGCTCGTCGCTCAGCTTGCATCTTTGTCTCCGTCGAGCTGAAGACTGTTGATGACATGAAGACATCCGAGATTTTGTGGATTTCCCACAATTCTCGTGACATCATTCCTGGATTCCTCCTATTTTGCACTTTTCTAACTACGTTTTTATAATAAAGTTTTGTGAAAGAAATAAAATGTTAAAGTTGGCAAAAGCCAATTATCTAACAATTTACAAAGTTAGTGAAAAAGATAATTTGCTAAACTAATTGCTAATTCTGTTATTAGCTGATTAACAGGACCACACCCACTGATTAAAACAGAGCTAAGCTTTATTATTTGGTACTTTCCCTCCAGTATAATTTGGCTTTATTTATTTTAATACAACTGTATAAATAGCTTTATACAATAAATAATTTTTTTATTTGCACAAGTGGAAGAAATCACCAAAATAAAAGCTTCCTTGAAAGAATGCAGATTCCTGGTGATTTTCATGCAAGTTTAAGACCAGCAGTGTCCACTCAGCTACATAATATCACGCCCTCTGACACATAAATACAGGCAAAAAAACAAAAACATAACTTATGTAGTTTGTCCAGATTAAAAAGAAACGTAAAACTTACATGGAATATATTATACTTGACGTGGCTGATCTCAATGCAGGTGTTTTCTGCTGCTGGCCTGTTTTGGAGCAAAGACTTGAACCTGAATCAAGCAAAATAAATAAATAAATAAATAAATAAATAAATAAATAAATGCAACTTTTTACACAGTAAACAGATTTAAACAAGTTTTGAGCAACAAGTTTTGATACCTGGGCGACGCTGTAAACAGCAAAACCTTATGTGCATAAAAGGGTTTCCCCTCCACCAGGAAGGTGACATCAGACATCTCTTTGTTGTTCAGGAAGTGGGGGTCTGAGAAAATCAGAAGTTTGCATGGACACTTATTACATCACTTAAATATGAACATTTTAAAGCATAAAACAAAAAAAACTTAATAATTACTGACTTTATTTTGACAGATGTTAAAGAAACAGCAGGTGGCGCTGTAGCACACTCACATTTAATTAAAGTTCACTCCTGAGTTAATTTCCAGTAATAATTCATAATAAATCACTGAATAAACACAGGTAGGACTCAGACAATTAGAGGAATAAATTAAATTAGATTCATTTTTAGTTTCAGTGAAGTGCTAAATTAGTGGTGATCCTTGCTGAGAAATAAAAAAGGTGTTTATCGGAGACTGAATCATTAAAATAACTTCTAATAAGTGCATTTGTTTAATTTTTTTCATCAATTCCTTACTAACATTATTTAAAGTGCCTGTAACATCAAATTTTTGTAATAAATATGAAAACATTTTTAAAAAGATAACACTGAAAATTTATTGCAAAATAAATTTCACGCCGCTGAGACGAACAGTTGCTGAGATATTTGCATGTGAAGTAACAGGAAGTGAGGTCAAAGGGGAACGTCAGAGCATTTATACAACTAACAACACAGGCTGTCGAGAAGAATCTGATGTTTCTTTGGATTATTTTGAGTCACTATCGGAGAGATGAAGGAGAGTCAGTGTTCAAATAATATTGTGTAAATAAACAAAAAAACTGAGTTTTCTTTCTGAAAGAGTTCCCCTTTGGTGTCACTTCCTGTTTCACTTTGAGCCAAGTTCAAAAGAAAATATGTGACAAAATGGGTAAAATCGTGAATTATGCCACATTTCTTCAATAAAGATTTTTTTTGTATTTGAAGGATTTGCATGTCACAAGCACTTTAATGTTTTCATATAAAGGAATATTTCTGCAGCTACGCATTTTAAAGCCCAGAATGACAATTTTGGGCATAAAATAAAAGAACTGTGGTCTTACCCAGGCGTGAGGTCTGCTTCTTTTTGATTTCTGTCAGTTTGGGGATTGGGAACGGTCCGTAGCATTGTGTGAAAATGACTGACAGCTGCTGGCTTATCACCTCATTCTGCAAACACACAGCAAAACCAGTGAGAACTAAAAACGGTTTGCACATATTAGAGTTTTGTGGCTTTTGTTTTCCCTCAGCTATTTGTTTGGGAGGAAAAAATGCTATGCAAATATATGATAATGCTGTTTGGAGTGTTGGTAATTTCTGCAAACGTGAACAAACTGATTTGATCTCAGCTGGGACCTTGCTGGATCGGAGGATCTGGAACATGAGCGGCAGGCCGTGCGTGATCAGCTCCTCCGTGTACTCCTCCTCCTGGATGCAGCTGAAGTCTTTGAGCAGACCCTGGATCAGCGGCCGGCGGTTCTGGAGGAAGCAGGTGCGCAGGGACTCGAGCCAGGTGTGCAGCGTCCAGGGAACGCCTGGGAGACACAAGCGGGGACGACGGTAAATATACGCCTCGTTCGGGGCAGGAGGAAAAAAATAAATAAATAAAACAAAAAGAGCACGAGCAGAGTCACAGGCGACAGAACCGACCATGTTGTCATCACTGTGTGGCGTTACAGCGAGCTGACAGGGGACTGATGATTGGTGGGTTAGTGGTGCATGAACAAACCAGCAGCTGAATTTAGTTAAAAACAGAAAAATGGTTTGGAAGAGATTGATGGACATGAAGAAAGCTTAAATCACAGCATGATGGATGTTTCAGCTCAAAGTACAGGTTGATGAATCGTGTGGAAAACTTGCAGATAAGCGGATAAATTTATCATTTTATTGTTTGCTTCAACGAGCGTCAGAATATATGTCTGCTCTAAGTTCAGTCTTGGTAATTTTGTTTACATTCCTTGACAACATACAATAAAGAATGCTTATTATTTTTTGGTATCAACCTAAATTATCAGCTAAAATGACCCACCTATTAAACACAGCAGATAATACATAATGTATCTACCGTATTTATTCTTATATAATACGACCCCCCCCTTTTTTTTTTAGCTTAAATACCATAAAAAATTTAATCCTCAAACTATATTCAATTTCAGACAGACTAAGACGTTTCAGCCTTTGCAGTCTTTATACATATCAGTAAAATGATCATGGACTGTTCATTTTATTTTAACAGCATATGTACTAAAAGGTATTTTGACAACAAATATATATCAGCCATAGCAACATCATATGAATTCTGGCATTTTACACATAGTCCACCAGGAGGCGCCAACACAAAAGTCAGAGACTTCACATGAGATTTGGGCCATCTTGTGGGGGAAAAGCAGATTACTTCCTACTCGCGAGCACCCCCTCTGGTGGGGAAACGTTCTTTCAGGGATACAAACCTTTTTCAGGACAGCGGTAGACGGCAGCCATTACAGACGAACATGTGTTTGTTGTTGTTCGAGGAGCGGCCCGGTCACACACTAATGTCATTAGTTCACTATCATTACTGAGGTGCAGGACTACCCCACCCTTTTTTTTTCCACATCATGTCGCCTGCCTGGATCTGTTATTATCTCGCTCTGAAGCACAGGGGAGTGTCAGAGGTGAGCTTGTTTCAACAGCTTTTTATGACGCGGTCTCATTTCCGGCATTTTGTGAATGAAGCCGATATTTCAGTCAAAATACATAAGTAAAAATATTTATCCGAGTATAGTACTACCCCCCAACTTTATGGATGATTTTATGGATTTAATTTTACATATTATACTTGAATAAATACGGTACTTGAAAAGCTGTTAAAATATTGTGAAGCTCAAATGACCCACAAGTAGGGCTGCACAATATATCGAAAATTTATCGTCATCGCGATAATAGCCAGTGCAATATGCATATCGCAACAACTGCATAAACTGCAATAAATGGTTGACTCAAAAGTTAGCATTTATGCATTTTGTCATTAAAATGGAAGCTTGAAAAATTTCACCAATCAAATGGAGCCCTTCATTTATTTGTTCATTTAAAAAAAAAATCAGCCTAGAATGGAAATGATTAGTTCATTTTAGGTTATTTTTTGGGAAAGATAGCACTACATTCATACGTATTTGATCATTTATCGCAAGTCATTTCGAAATTATTAAGCACTGTTATTGCACATCGCAGGTTTTCCTAATATCGTGCAGCCCTACCCACATGGCCTTGGTTTTCAAATTGAGGCCTAAACACAGCGGTGGTATCATGGTCTGGGTCTGTTTTGATACAGCTGAACCAGACAGAAGGAAAAAGTTAGGCTTTTTAGAAGAAAAGCAGCAAGGTTTTAGTGAGGATGAAAGACACTGTTAAATATTTAAAATAATCTGTTTAGGTTCTCTTTATGTGTGTTTTAAGTAAAATCTTTCTGTAAATCACAGGATAGAAATGACTCCACAAAGAGTTTGGGAGGCCTTAATGTTCATAAATCAGATTTGAGTTAATGCTCATAGACCTAAAATACAATCCTGTGGTGAATAAAAAGCTACATTTAATGAAGGAACGCAGCTTAAAGATGCAGTTCCACCCTAAAACGATCCGACCTGCAGCTCCGGTTTCTGTGGCTGTTTCATGGTTGGATGAGTGGCTGAGGTGTGGGAACGGGAGCGGACAGGACAGGCACAACATGAGCACATCTGCAGGACAGCTGGAGGCACCACAGAGCGAGGCGTGTGTGTGCCACCGAGGCATGCATTAGTAAGTCTGACCTAAGCTGCGGATGTCAATGGTGATGTCCACATGGCCATGCTCTGCGCTATGGTACATGGCCTCTCTCAGGGCCCTCAGTCTGGCCTTTCCTGTTCGCAGCGTCCCGCCACAGTTGGCCTGGGGAACCAGTCTCTTCTCTCCGGGCTCCGAACCCTCGGCCAGGATCTCCTCCAGGGACATCACGTCCCCCTTTTCCTTCTCCGAGTGGGACAGGAGCTTCCGAAAGACATTCCTGAAAAAAAAAAAAAAAACCCCAGAACAAAACAAACAAACAATAAATAAATAAGTAGAAGAGATGACAAGCATGAACATCTAAGATAAAGAGATCAAATAGCAGAAAAAAAATTAAGAAGGGTTTGACGATGCAACATCTCATTCTTGTGCTGTTTCAACAAAATATTATAAATCAAAATGTTCAGCTCCTTCAGGACCTTCCATCTTTGACTCTGTATTTGTTCACTTTAAGACATTTAGCTTTTCAGGCCATTTTTTAATCTCTGAAAATAAATGGAGCTGTCATCAATATTCTTGAAAATTTTCATTAATCTTTAGTAATTTTTTACCTTTTGTTGTGGTTCTGCTTTTTGTACTCCTTTGCATAAATTTCAGATTCCTTCAGCTTCTGATTTGAGCTTTTTTTAGCTATCATTCTGACTTTTTCTTCTGCTAAATTCTACTCTTTGTGATCCTTTCAGCTAATTTATGCTGTTTTATGTATTTTAGCTCCTTTTTTTGCTAATGTGAGCTTTTTTTTCAGCTAATAGCTTTTTGTACTAATTTCAGCTTCCTTCAGCCTCTATTTAGCTGATTTTAACTTTTTTCTGTTTTTTTTCTTTCATTCATTTTTGTGGTTCTTTCAGCTACTTCCAGCAGATTTAAATTGTTTTCTGTGTTTTAGCTACTTTTTAGTTTTTTTTAAGCTAATCACTTTTATCCTAATTTCAGCTTCTTATTGTTTAATTCAACAAATGTGCCCTTTCTGTTTCTTTGTGTTAATTTCAGCAACATTTTAGTTATTTTTAGGCTAGTTTCAGCTTATTCAGCAAAAATCGTTCAGCATTAAGCCTTTATAATGCATTTTCAGAAGAAATGCAAATTCTTTACAAAAAGAAAACATTGAAAAAACATTTTAAAAAGCAAAGCTGAAAAACATTGCAAAGCCCTGCAGCATTAAAAAAGACGAAAAAATGACAACATTTTTCTAAAATATGCCTGAACTCGTTAAGCTTTTTTTTTTAGAAATGTTATAAAGATCAGTCAAAATGAAATCAGCATATTTTTTGTTCATCAATGATTATTGTGTCCTTAAATGAAAGATTTGAAAGAACTACTATTGAGTTTGTTTACCTATGAAAACAGCCAAAGTTATTGAAAAAAGGTCAACAGTGATAAATCTGTTTCAGTTTGAGAGTGTCGGTCTTTCACTAATTTCTTGTTTCTTCGTTGTATGGTTTTGTCCTATGGGTTTGTGTTATTTTGTAATTAGCCACTTTTTTGGTTATGTTTGAATAAATTATCACAATATTTGAACTTCTCAACAAAGAGGGCTGATGATGTTGATATATTATGCATTCCTGCTCAGATTTGTTAAGTAAAGTAGGCAGACAGGCTTGTAAAACCACCTAAATTGAGGCGTATTTCACCTGTCGTTCCAAATTTCTGCACCTGCATTGTGACGCAGCATTTCTGCAGCCCCACTGGTGGTTTGGTGACAGATGTCTCCATGTTAGAAGAATTGATTAGAACACGTAACAGTTTGAGTGTGATCACAGGCTGATAACTCATCGCTGCACCATCTGCTCCATAAGGAGGAGCTCCACTCGGGTGCAGCGGCACATCCCTTCCATGCTAATCATTAAAGGTTGATTTAGCACAATTAAGAATCTGCTGGGGGATTGAACTTGGTAAAAGTCCAAGCAGTTAAAAAAAAGGGGGAAACAATCGTACATCAAATACCTCCACCCTTTTATAGGATTTGGACCATGACTGCTGTCATGTTCAGACATATGAGGTGTGGGCTGGTTCTGTTCATCTGAAAGGTGTTGGATAGGGTTAAAGTCAGGGCTCAGTTGGGGCAGCTCAGGTTCTTCCTCCCAAAAATGAAAAGAATAACATCATTTTATGAAGCTAACTTTAAGGAAAGAAGTTTAAAAAAAAAGCTCAGATTGTCAGGTTTTGTTAAGATAATTGTGGCCTTGTTTTTAGTTTTATTTCTGAACTTCAGTCTTTTTCTTGGTTTGTTTGTTTTGGTCTTGCGTCCAGCTCGTCACACACACCTGGTCCTAATTTGCCAATTACCACACCTGCTCTGCATCAGCTTACACACATCAAAGTTGTACACAATCTCTGGTTTGACCTTTGTTTAGTTGTTTTTCTAGATCAAGATGCTTTCTCTTTTTTCCCTCGTTTAGCTTCTACATTACACAATAAGCTACAAACTTGCCCAGTGTTTTCTTTGAAGGAGGGTTCTGTTGAAAGGTTAGAAACAATAAGTATCTTACCTGCAACAGATGGCTCTTTCGAATGTCCTCAGTTTGGAGAAATGGGTTTAATTCGGGCCTATAGTGATAATCAGGTAGTCTGAGCAGGGCTAAGGGTAAAATCGATATTCCAGAAGTGCCTCCAGGCTGCACCACAAATGCTATAGCTAGCTGCTACTGCTATTTATACTTGTGAATAACTGTAAAATTCAAGGTTGATAACTTTATAAAAGTTTATAAAACAGTGTCAGTACAGATTGTTGAAATTAGAGCTGGCAGTAACTGGACTAGCCATTAGCTCATCAATTTTGTCATCTTAATTTTTCCAAACTGAAGTTGCTCAAAGATAAAAAGCAGTTTTTCATAATCTTTCAGCAATCACTTTAGCTTTAAATAATTTTTTTTCTTCCATCTGGAGAAGAAAATCTTCACCTACAAGCCATTAAATTAGCTTGCAAACTGTAGCACAAATGCTAACTGTTGCTAACTATAGTCTGACTCAGATCTATAAAATGCTTAAGTGACAACAGCTTGGCTGGTTGCATGTGGTCTGTTTAGGGTTATCTGCGTATAAAAGTGACAAATATGTGCATTTTTGAACTTTCAACTAAACCTATCTAGTTTTAGAACTGTTTCATGACTAGGTGTGCAAGTAAAACAGACAAAAATGTATAAAAAAATGAAAGCAGATGCTAGAAGATGTATTTCTTTGCCATTTATTTTTTAGTAGATGTTTACCCAGAACTTGAAAATCGTTTGTATGGACCCTTGAATGGGAGAAAATGTTGTAAAGTGTTTTTAGGTGCTATGACAGTTTAAAGACACAGTGTGTAGGATTTTGTCAAGTCTTTTAGCTGAAACTGAGATAATCATTGATGACAATAATAAAAAACATGTCTAATCATTGCAGACAAAGACCTTGTTTTATTATTTTTACCTTATAAAAAGCTGTTTATATCTCCATGGTCGCGGGTCACCACTACAGGCAGCCGCCATCTTGTCTACAAAGGCTCATGAAGGACAAACTGCGGTGGCGGCGTCAAAACGGTTTTAGTTGTAATACTATAAATGTAATATTTGTTGTCTGTCATTGTAGCTGGGATAATTTTACTTATTAAAGCTCATAATCTTCCCACTTGAAACATCACTAGCCCTGAAGCTGCTGGGAGACATCGCGGTTGGAATTATCAAAGGTTTTTGACACCTGAGAGACACCGTAGCAACTCCTTTGCGTTTGGAAGCGGGGGGTGAGGGTGGGGGGAGGACCAGGGAGGATGATTCAACCACTCACATACATGTCAACTTGTACGGATTGTTCGTAATTTTGCAGGTTTACGGACGTATAGCAATCTCACGGATTTTTTAAGTCTTACGGATTTTTTTCAAAACCTCATTGTCAAATTTATTATCTAACATGTCAGAGCCTGCAGGATGATTTCAAAAACAATAAATAACATCAAAAAGCCATCATCCAACCTGTTCTGCTGCTAGAAATATGTTTTGAACTTTTTCCACTCTCCTCTCCTCCTGCTTCGCAGCGAGGCTGACCCCCCCACCCACCAGGTGCGAGTTGTACGGATTTTTAGCTAAATTTACTGATTTTTGAGGATTTTTATACAGCTAAATGTCCGAAGAGGTTGACATGTATGCACTCAACCACTAGATGTCGCTGAAAACAACAAATCCTACACACTGCGCCTTTAAAAGGAGACCGATAAATAAGTTCGGAGCATTCACAGGCTGCAGCTGATTCAGTCCTAATTCAGTTTAAAGTTGCTCCAAACACACTGCAGCCTGATCCCAAGCTATAATCGATTGTCTTAATAGGGCTGCTTTGTGCTGCCGCCGTCCCTCGCTCCGCTCCGTTTCCCCAGCGCCCTGAATGTTAATGTGCTTTATCTTTACCCCGCTGCATTAAAGCCATAAGAGTGGGGGGACGAACTGACTGCGGTGCTCGTCGTCACAAAAACTGAAACGCCTCCTGCGCCCCAGGYTGCAGTTGAGGAGCAGGTGGAGCGTGTTAACGGATCGATGCCGTGAGAGTGATGGGTGCTTGTGTGAGATTGCCGGTGTCACCTGTGTCCGTGTGACGCTGCCAGGCTGAACGAGTTCATGTCTCCCAGCGGGGCGGAGGAGATGCCGTTTCGACACAATGTACCAATCATGGGGTCGGCTCCTCTGTCCAGAAGCAAGCTCACCAACTCAAAGTTACCTAGAGAGGGTTAAAATGTTCAGACATGAGGATATCATCGTAAAGTCAGTGTTTTTTTTTTTTTTTTTTAGAAATTGAACATGTTGTAGTGAAAATGTACTTTTACTGTAAAGTGCAAAGTGTTTTTTTTTTGTCATAACTGCAATAAAAAACATCAAATACTCTCTGGTTTTTGTTTCCCTAAAGTGATTTTTTAAATTTTCCTCTTTTCTTGTGGACATCTTAAATGCATCTACAGCGTTTAAAGCTTCTGCGACACACAGCAACTCTTTGAGTGGCTTCAATTATCCAAAACATTAGTCACGAAAAACCGTCTTTTCTTCTTGTCTTCTCATGAGAAYTAATTTTAAAATAAACTGAACATGAAACAGAACAAGGTGTATTTCACTTACTTRATTGAAGACCATTCAGTGAATAAAAGTTCATTTGTGAACAGACAAAATGCAGTTTTCCCTTTTATTTTCAAACAGGGTTTGATTAAAACCCTTTGTTTTCCAAAGCTTGCGCTGCTTTTTGTTAAAGATTTGTTTTAAAGCAGAACAGGCAGGAGTTTCATCTGGAGCCTGGACCTGCTGAATGATTTGTTTGCTCASGAAGACTTTCACTCATTGCTATTCATTAGCAAAATTAGCTTTGGGATTGTGGTTTTTYTTTCACCTGCATTATTTATTACGTAATTAGTAGGACGTTAAGTGTTTTTTAATTTTCTGTGGCGGTGAGTCCCTTGTTACCATAGCAATGTGGCTGTTCGCATCTTCCTAAGGTCGATGAAACATTCCTGTGAATCAGTTTTTTTAGGACCGTGTCAGGCATTGGTGCCGATTTTAATACAAATTAAAGATCCATCAATACAAGTTACCAATTTGTTTCCCTTTTTAAAACTAGAATAATTRAACAATTGTTAGAAAAATGACAAGAGAATTTGTATATTTTATTCATTTTCAGAGCTATCAGTCTGTTAGCTCGAGATGTGATAGGAAATTGTTAGCATGTCAAGCTAGCAGTGACTTTTTGGGTTTCTGCTGCTTCTCAAACATTATTGTAATAAAAATAACGTTTTTTTGTTACAAGTAGAAAAAAACGAGCTGCTGGACGTATGTTTGCCACACACAGCATCATCTTACCTGTTCGTTAGTTTAGCCATTTGCTAAGCTGAGCCAACAAAAACGATCAATGTTTCAGTCAATATTAGCTTTGGAGTAAATATTAAAACACATATATTTATTTTTTTAAGACAATCTGTTCTGCGAAGTGGATAGTTATGTACAGTTTATAATTATACAATGTGAGTTTTGATACAATGTTTAAAAATTGTGCATAGCGGTGCATTTTTTAAACCACAAGGATACTAGCTCGGCCCAAAAAGTTGATAAATAAAATATTAAAAATGAATTTAATTGGGAAAAAAAATGGTCTGTTGTTAAAAGCAAAATGGTGTTTTCTAATTAGTGTCTTTACTGGGGATTTCCTACAGTTTTCTTCAAGGTCTTTAAAGATCAGCAGCATTAGCATAAAAACTACAATAATTATTGAATATGCTCGCAAATTCAATCACGGTCCACTGTATTTATTTTATGTAAACATGTTTATGTTAAACATTCTTTTTAATTGTACGACCTACAAATTGCTAGCAAATAATTTAAATTGTTTTATTTAAAACTAACTGTGGAATCAAACTGCAGGTTTTTCATACAGCTGCGACAAATAAAGCTTCAAATTCACTGCTTTACAGCATCAGACGAGAAGGGGTTATCTGCGGAATCAWAGTGGGCGTGTCACAAGAGTGGGCGTGTCAAAAGCATAAACACTGTGGGCTGCGAGGCCTACATGACGGTATCCTTAGATCCTGCTTGATCTCTTTGCAGCCTGACCCTGACCCCAACACTAAGGTTAACCAGGAGAAATGTGACCCAAGTAGGGTTCTCCAGAAAAAGTGGTGCTGTACAGTAACGCCCCTTTTGTTCTTGTCCAATGAGGTGGTGCCGTACGGTGACGCCCCTTTTTTGCTTTTCCAGTCAGGTGTGTCCCTTTAACAAAGTCTGTCAAATCAGGTGTATCGCTTTAGAATTGCATTTCCTTGTGACACGCCCACTCGTTCGCACTCGTCCGCAGAGACCCCTACTTGCATCAGACAGCAATCGAAGGTAAAAACAAACAAACAAACAAACAAACAAACAAAAAAAGGAGATAATTAAAACAGACTGAGAGCGCCCTCTGGTGTGTTCAGAGTCAAACGTCAAAAGCATCAAGAATCGGAACGGACGAGTCAAATCACGCTTGTCTCACGTCCTCCCAGGCCTGCAATGCTCGTTGTGCGTTTACCTGCYGCAGCAGCGAGCTGGAGCGGCGTCTCCGTGTAGTTCTCCGCCCCATCCTGCAGGGCGCCCTCCACGTTGGCTTTATTATCCAGCAGCAGCTGTGGCAGAGATGGGACGAACAAACGGGACGAGAGAGAGAGAGAAAAGCAAGGGAGGGGAAGATAGGGTGTTAAGTTTAGACTTGGCAAAAAATAAAATACTCGACTTTTGGAGAGACACTCCTAAACACTCTATCTTAATTAGTACTATCACTGATGTCGAGCTGAGGAGGAGGAAGAGGAGGAGTTTCATTTCCTGTTGCCAAAACTCTGTTTGTGGTGATGAATATTAACACTGAAACAATTCTAGAGGCAACAGCTCTGGTGGTGCAGCAAACCTTATCGTTTATTAAGAGTGAAGAGGCACTTGGCATGCCTGAGGCTATGTATCAGGCTGGCTGGGCGGCTCTGTTTAGCTCAGCTCTGGGAGTTTCCTCAGTGTTATGATGCACTCAGAGCAAAATAAAGACCAAGAAGTGGGGTCACATTGCCAAAGACTGTTTGAGTAGTTAAACCTTTTCATTTCACTGCACGGATAGGACCAAGGAAGGAGAAATAAGAAAAAAGAAACTGGACACCTGGCATCATATTATCATGATGCACCACAGCAATCATCATCATTAATCGTCATTTTAGTACAAAGGTGAGGGCAAGGGCCAGGAGGTTAGTGGTTACAGGTCATAAACGTCACTACCTGCACGACAGGGACGTGTCCGTGCAACACGGCGAAAGCGAGTGGCGTCGCCTGGCGCGTTTCAGGATAAACTGAGGGGTGCTTGTTTACTGTGCTTGGCACCTGGGAAGTCATAGGTGAAGTTCAGGGAGAGAGATACACAGCCGTTAACATTCAGAGCTCAGGGGAGTGGGGTGGGGTGGGGGAGGCGGGGAGGAGGAGATGCAGTATGCAGGAGGAGAGGTGTAAGCGAAAGAGGGCAAGATGGCAGAGGGAGATTTTCCTCGTGGAGTTTCGCAGCTCTAATCCTTCCTCTCATCTCAAATCCTCTCTGTAAAGCGTCGAAGCCAAGTTGTGCGTCTTGCCTGGACGAGGCTTTCTGAGCGCACTCTGCTTCATCTGTCTGCCTCCACCTTTTTTTTTTTTTTCATTTTAAAGGTGAAAATGAAAAACCAGAAAGAAAACGAGTACAAACACAAACATACAGGTGTTCCGGTGCTGACTTGTGAACAAAACAGCGATGGAATATTTAATCATGTAAACTGATTCCTGTATGTCACCCAAAAGGAAAGAAAAAACAAAAACCAGATGTTTTTTTTTATAATGTCACATTTCATTTGGGCTCTAATGTTAAACACTATTGGGACTGTTAGTGTTTGTTTATAGTGATGAATTATTAATGTCTTTTTAATTACAGGCAGCCTGATGAGAAACTCAAAGACGATGTCTGCACCAAAGGAAGGTAAATAAAATATGTAGTCAGTAAATATGAAACATCAGGTTTCACGTTACTGAACAGCTTTGCTCATCATAATTAGAAACTCAAATAAACACTCACTGACTCAAGAGTTATGCACCCAGACAGGGCGGTGGAAGTTCAATAAAACCACACCTTTTGAAAGGTCATGTGACCAAACAGCTGTAGGGGTGCGCTGCTGGTCTCCTGGACCACCCTCAGGCTTGGATACCTGCAGTGATTCAGTGCAGAATTCTAGTTGGACTTCCAAGTCGAAAACATCAACTAGAACGCCGCTAGTGTCATAATTTTGATTTGGGAAGTCGGTGCAATACGACCATAAATGACCATGCATGATGTCATCGTGTCAACATGGCTGCTTCTCGCGTCAACAAACTGAAACTCTTACTTTTATGGTTTTTAGCAGTTTTTTGTTCTTTACATTAAGTTAGCCGTACGTGTACTACTTTATAGCGATTATCAGGCGACGTTGTACACCTTATGCCGCATATTATATGCTATTGTTGTAAAGTCAGACGTAGGCAATCCTGGTCCTCAAGTGCTGCATGTTTTACTAAGTTCTGCAGACGCCCGATAATCACCCATCCATCCATCCATTTTCTGTACACGCTTCTTCCTTTTCAGGGTTGCGTGGGTCACTGGTGCCCATATCCAGCAGTCACAGCGCGAGGGGCGGGGTACACCCTGGACAGGTCGCAAGTCCATCACAGCCCGATAATCACCATTTATTCAAATCGGTTGTGTTGAAAAAGAGAAACAAGTAAAACATGAAGCATAGCGGCACTCTAGGACTAGGATTGCCTACCCCTGGATGTAAGTGTTGTTGCATTATTCGGTCAGAGCAACAAGTAGAAATGCTTTCTTTCGACGTTCTGACGAGCTGGAAGCTGGAACGCTTTCAGCTTGGAACTGACGTCAGTACGACTTCATAATTTCGAGTTCTGCAGCAACTGCAACAAACAGAGGATGTCATGTTCCAATAAACCACCACAGGTGACTCGATGTGTATTTGCATGATGATTTTGATGATGGCATTTGACTGAATGTAATGTTTATTGCTTGTTTTGTAATTGGCAACTGTATTATGAAATGTGCTGTACAAATAAATGAATTAAATAAAGTCACACCCTGTAGGGGTAACACTGGTGTTATTCTTGGTGTGCCTTCCCAAAACATTGTCAGGATTGGTCCTCTTCCTTTGATGTCACCATATGGTCATCCATCACCCGCTTCGGATGTTATCATTCATGAAATGGACGTTATTAGCCATTATCAGTCCCATAGAATGGCTTCAGACTGTCCCGACTGTGCCGCCTAGTGGGTTCTCTGTCCCATTATTTAATGGCTTCAGACTGTCAGCTGGTTAGTATGAGGCATAAAACCACTAAGGTTTTTTTATGCAATCTAGTTAATATGAGCAATAAAGCCACTAAGGTTAATTTTAGAGAAAATGACATGGACTACGATAAAGTAGACCAGACTCCGGCGGTAGCAGATTGTTGCATTCCAATGTATATGGCACTGGTAACCCACTAGGGGGGCACAGTCGAGACAGTCTGAAGCCTTTCTATGGGACCGATAACTGCTAATAATGTCCTTTTAATGGACTGATAACATCCGAACTGGCTGCAACCATGCTAATGCAGGACTGAGAGTGATCACTGAACCAGTCCAAATGCACTCGTCCATACTTTTATTACTCAGTCCTCTTTGTCCCGTTTGGGACATAAGTCCATTATCAGCTGCTTCCACCTGTTTCTGTCACTGGCCACATGTTGTGCTTAACCCCACGTAAGATTCATCTCCTTCAGTTCTGATGTCACTGTCCTTCAGCATGTTGTTCTTGGCCTTCCCTGTTTCCTTCTACCAAGTGATGTTCATCACAATGCTACTTTAGGGATATGCTTATCAGTCATTTAAAACAACAGTGTTTTGTCTCCACCCTCAAAATGTTGCCATTGGTTTTCTGGTATAGCCATTTGTTAGCCATCTATATGCTCTGGTGTTAATGCCAGACTATTCATAGAACAATGAACCCATAGTTTGACTGATGTCAATCATTAAGCCCAAGTCTGGGATGACATGCAAGTAGATATGACAATTCTGTCAGCGTAGCCCATCTTCAGCAATCAGAACCGTCATGCCAGACCACTCCTCCTGGGTGCTTCGCTTTTTTTTACAGTATGGGTGTTTATCCTTATAAATACATTTGGGTTTATGCATTTAATTTGGCTTCTGTCTTTGTCAGAAAAATATCGAAAAAGAAAAAAAAGGGGGGGGGGGGGATCAATTTGCCTGAAGACTTAAGCAGAGGTGAGGCATGGCCCAGATGTAGCAGATATCAACAACACAGCCAGCTTGTCTCTTCAGGCGGTTTGTTTTGAACTATTTTTAGGGGGAGGGCAAAATCTGCATTTCACAGGAAAAGCAGCAAACGTGAAGCATTTTGAAGCTTTTCCTTGACTTTTTGGACAACTTTTAAAACATGTTCTGGTAAAAGTTTCACTGAACGTTTTTGAACATTTACGATTGGTTAAGTGAATTCAAACTGGTTTATTTTCAAGTCAGCAACAGACACGAAACCAATGGAGCAATCACAACATTCAACTGTGAGGGGAAGGATGAGCAATTAAAAAAAAA